AAGCTTGAGGACTTACTAAGGTCCAAAATATGCACACAAGAATGATGATGAGGTTCCCTTTCTAGATCAACACACTGGACCACTTTTTCTTCTTCTTCAAGCTACCAAAAGCACTAAAATGAGCCAAAAATCACCAAGGGGGGTTATGGTTAGGGTTTCTGAGGTTTAAGGGTGATGGAGGCTAAGAAGGATGCCCTAATCCTTAGGATAAGAAGCTTAAATATGAGAGAAACCCTAAAATCATGGGCTTGGGCCATAACAGCTACCACGTCGTGGCCACCTTACTGCTACGTCGTGGTACTCATAAGATGTATGTGTTCCATATTGGCTCGTCACGTCGTGACCTCCCTATGTTCACATCGTAACACATGATTTTTCCCAAAAACCATGCCTTTGACTCCTTTATGCCCTATACTAATCCAATATGGAAAATGGGTGTTACATTTAACATTGTTTAGATTGTAGGGAAAAGATGTAACACCACCCTTTTGTTTGTTTTGTTACATTAAATGAAAGGAGAAAATGAAAACCATTTTCCCTTTGAATATGTATAGTTCTTATATTTTTCTTCTCACTCTCTACAAGCATACGAAAACACCAAGCACAAACCCATCTTATCCTTTTGTTTTTCTGTTTAAGGTAACATAGCAAAGGGCCAATATACAACAATCTAATGTTACATTTTGTTTAGTTATTGTATTTATAATAAGAATAAATGCATATTATTTATTAATTACTTATCATTCAACATGAATAGATAAATATTTAACAAATAGAAAAGTTTTGGATTCATCAAAGGTAAGTGATGCTGATTTTTCTAAACATAGTCGTATGGAAATAATTTTATCATATCTTCCCTCAGACCCTGGAATGAGGACTATGATTTTAGATTATGATCCTAATGTTCCAGACAAGGTTCGAAGAGCATACCTCTTAGAAGGTCCTTGCCAACCTAAATGCGACAAGTTTCCTTACATTCTTTTTGGAAAAAACCACGAAGATTCAATGTTGCATGGTTTAATGTTAATGAATATTCTACATGGCTAGAATATAGTGTAAATCAAAATGTTTCATGTTGCTTATATTTTTATTTGTTCAAACCATATGTTGGAGCACAAGAAGGCGATGAAACTGTCGTTGGTGTGGGATTTAGAAATTATGGACATAAAGAAAAGTTGAATCATCATGTTGGAGGTTTCAACAGTGTTCACAACCAAGCTTGGGCTAAGTGCAAGAATTTATTGAATGACAAACAACGCGTTGATGTTGCGTTTGCAAAGCATTCAACACAAAGTACTACAACTATTAAGACAAGGTCTTGCATTTAGATGCCATGATGAAAGTGAAACTTGAAATAACAGAGGGAACTTTATAGAGTTGTTGTAATTTATAGTTGATCATAGTCAAATCATTGAAATTGTTACTTTCAATAATGCTCCTTTGAATATGAAGTTGACTTCACCACATATCCAAAAAGACATTGTTCATGTATCCGTAATTGAAAAAATATATCTCATTATAAATGATATTATTGGTGAATCTTTTTTCTCTCTCCTTGTCGATGAATCTCGTGATATTTCAATTAAAGAACAAATCAGTGTTGAGTTGTAGTATGTAGATATGGAAGGTCGTGTAATTGAATGCTTTCTAGGAATTAAGCATATCCCAAATACTACAACTATTACACTTAAAGAGACACTTGACAATTTGTTTTCAAGACATCGGTTGAGCATCACCAATTTGCACGGACAAGTTTATGATGTGGCCAGTAATATGAAAGGTGAACTTGGTGGTCTTACAACTCTTATTATGAATGAAAGTGCGAGTGAATATTATGTTCATTTTTTCTCTCAACAGCTTCAACTTACTCTTGTAGATGTGGCAAAATTATACGAAAATAGTTTCTTTATTTGTGTTGCTAACCAATGTTGTAAATGTTGTTGGAGGTTCTTGCAAGTGTCTTGACTGTCTTCGAGAACAACAAGCTTCCAAATTTATTGAAGCACTTGGTTTAGGTGAAATCATAAGCGGTCGAGGCCTCAATAAAAAAAATCTCTTATCAAACCGAGGGATACACATTGGGGATCGCATTATGGTACTTTGATAAGTATGCTTACATTGTTTCCATCTGTGTTAGATGTGCTTGAGATTATTGCAGAAGATGGCACAACCCCAGAACAAAAATGTGTAGCTGATATGCTAATTAACTCCTTCCAGACCTTTGATTTCATATTTTCTCTGCACTTCATGAAAAAAATTATTGGGTATTACTAATGAGTTGTCCCAAGCATTGTAAAGGAAAGATCAGGATATTGTAAATGCAATGAACTTGGTAGAATTTTCAAGCTGCAATTGCAAATTTTGAGGGATAGCGGATGGGATTCTATGCTTACTCAGACTATATTGTTTTGTGAAAAACATGAGATTGATATTTGCAACATGGATGAAATGTTCTTACTTCCTGGACGGTTACGTCGAAAAAACTTACACTACTATCATGCTGAGTTATTCTATGATGTCATTGATTTGCAACGCAGAAAACTAGAGAGCCGTTTTAGTGAGACCGGCACCAAATGGCGTCTTTTCATGGTGTGTCTCAGTCCAAATAACTATTTTGCAACTTTTGATAAAAAAAAATTGATTTAGCTAGCTCGTTTATATCCGGATGATTTTTCAGATATAGAATTGGAGATACTTGATGGTCAAGTTGAAGCTTATATTCTTGATATGTTGAATACGTCAGGTTTTTTTGAATCTAAATAGGATTGGTTATCTTGAATAGAAGATGTTTGACACAAAAAGAGATAAAGTGTTCTCTTTAACTTACTTGCTCGTCAAATTAGCATTGACGTTATCGGTTTCAACAACAATAGCTGAGAGATCGTTTTCCGCTATGAAGATTGTGAAGAATGAGATGCGTAATAAAATGGGAGATCAATGGATGAATGACAACTTGGTTGCTTATATCGAAGAAGAGGTTTTTGAGGATATTCATAATCAAGATATCAGAGATATGTTTGATAAAATGAAAACATGTGGACGACCTTAGTGAATTTGTAATATATATATGTTTGCAGTTTGTGGATGTTTGATAATTTATATATGTTTGCATTTTGCAGATGTTTAATAATTTATAAGGAACTCCCTAAAAACATTTGTTGGCTTTACCCCTATTCATCATTACCACCTTCAATCTGACATGTACCATCATTAACATCATAGGACTTGCAATGCTTGAGAAGGGACTAGAAAGTGAAATATTCAACTAAAAACAGCTTCTCTAAGCACTACAAGCTTTCTTCTTCACCAAGGATCTCACAAATACACCAAAATCTCTTTAAGGGGGCACAAGGGGCTAGATTTCGTATTCAGAGGATTGAGGTTGGTGATAGAGAGAACCCTTGAGTGTTAGTTCCTTTATATAGGGCCCAAATCCCAAAACTAGGGTTATGTGTTAAACTGACATCACGTCGCGACCATCTCTTGATCGCGTCGTTACTTATCATCATGGCTTGCGCCGCGTCAGTTAAGGATTGTGTCACGATTCGGCAAAAACCATTTTCCTCAAATATAATACAAAATAACTTGATAGTTACTCATACCTTGGAAGTGGGTGTTACAATGTTATTTTGTGTGGCCGTGGTTTGTGGTGGCTTATTTTTTTTTTTTTGGTGGTGGTGGTTGATAGGTAATGTCTGGTTTTCAGGTGTGTGTGTGTGTGTGTGTGTGTGTGTGTGTGTGTGTGTGTGTGTGTGTGTGTGGAAGATCATGAGATGATGATGGGGTCAATAACGAGGAAGATGGATCAGGCAACTAAGTCGATTTCAGCGATGGCACAAAATCAGATTCTTAGAATTGTGTCTGTAATTACAACTAAAAAACATATAAGGAGCAAGAAATATATTTGAGACATGGGTTTTTGCAGATGTTCAACGGTGTGGTAAGTGCATATGCTGGTATTATACATGGCTGATAGGGGGTTGTAAGGGTGATTATCTGAAGATTTTAGGTGGCTACGATCTGTGGTGGTAGGCAGTGGAAGAGAAGGAAACGCTGGAGGGGTCGATGTTCGAGAGAGAATGATGAAGTATAAGGTTAGATGAGAGAGAGTTGGGGTGGTGGGCCCAACTGATAGAAACCAGAATCACATGAACCTTCCATGAGACTGAAAAAGTTAGGGATTAAACTTTATATTCTGAAAAACGATAAAGACTGTTTATGAATATTTTTAAAAATATGATGAGATGTTTTTATGTATGATTGGAAAATAAAGTAAAATGAAATACTAAGACTTTTATTTTTAATATTTGCTTATGTAATGATGGGTTGCTTAAAAGAATGTTATAACGGGTGTTTGAGATTGCATTTTGAACTTGAAAAATATTTTAGGGCAAAAATGTTTATTAACTTATGGGGTGACAAAATAAGTTTTTTTTTTTAAAAGTGTTTGGATTAACTTTTATGGTGACAAAAACCAACAAGTCAATAAGTTGTGTTATAAAAATATGTTTGGCTTAGCTTATACATATAAAATGACCAAAAAATATATGTTTAGCTTATACGTACGCAATGTGTTTCGGTTAATGAGTGTATTTGTGGTATTTTAATATAAAAAACCAAACACAGTTCTGAAAAGTCAGGAATGTCTTGTTTTTTTTTTTAAAAAAACTTATTTATGAATGGAGTTAAAACTTTTTAATTTGCCAAAACATATTCTTTAACTAATTTTTTATAAGTAAATAAGTCAATTTTAAATAAAAATATAATTGGTAATGTAAGAATTTTAATGACACAAAAGCAATATTCATGTGTATTTTCTTTAGCCATTTACTTCACCGCCACTTCATCACACTTGTCCATGGTTTCCAATAATCCAATTTAAGATATTCAACCCTAATTTTCATCAATCATCGCCTAAATCTTCTTATTTGCGTCAAAATTCTGGTGTGCAAGTCGATTTCTTTATCGATTTCACACCCAATCTTTCAGTTTCCGTCAATATGTCGAAGGAATTCAACGTTCCGCCTGTGGTTTTCCCCTCCGGTGGAAACCCCAACACCGGCCCACAACAACGTCGTCTCCCAACAGCACCGTTTCAGCCTGCGAGATCTGCAAACGCCGGTATCCCTTTCATGTCATTCGACATCGGATCGTCTCCGGCATCCACATCCTTCTCTACTCCCCAATTCGGCAGCACCATCAGCGGCGGCAGTACGAATTTTGACGACGAGCCACCTCTCCTGGAAGAGCTAGGTATAAACACGAAACAAATTTGGAACAAAACCGTATCAATTTTGAATCCGTTTAGAGTCAAAGCCGATCTTCACGAAGACGCAGATCTATCCGGTCCTATTTTGTTCATCATGGCATTCGGATTGTTTCAATTGCTCGCCGGGAAGTTACATTTCGGGATTATTTTCGGGTGGACAACCGTCGCGTCTCTGTTTTTGTACGTCGTGTTCAATATGCTCGCCGGACGAAACGGGAATCTCGATTTGTACCGGTGCTTAAGTTTGATCGGTTACTGTATGCTTCCGATCGTGATACTATCTGCACTTTCTCTGTTTGTTCCCCAAGGTGGGGTGTTGATCTTCGTGATGACGGGGGTTTTCGTGATGTGGGCGACGAGGGTTTGCACCGGTTTGTTGGTGGAGCTGGCTTCTTGTGGAGACGAACACCGTGGTCTCATTGCGTACGCTTGCTTCTTGATCTATATGCTTTTTTCCTTGCTAGTTGTATTTTGATATTGATATCATCTGCTTCATCATAGTTTTTTGATTTTCTTGATAGTGGTTGTAGTTGTTAGCTGTTGTTAAGTCCAGGTTTTGTGATTAATGAATGCAAGTATTTATTCTGGTATCTTGTCTTCATCATGTTCTTGTTGCTTATATTTCTGTATTTAAATGTCAACTGATTAGGAAAAGTCATATATGAGATTATATAACCTTTGATCAATGTGAAACACAGAAAGTCATTTCCATGGTTTCCATTATGTTCTTTTTGTAGTCATAGTGAATTATTATTATTATTGTTTAGAAGGCAAAATAAGTATGTTATAAACATTTGAATAGATTTTGCTGACTTTTAAGAGATTCTTTAGGTTAAAGTTGATCAATCCATAGTGGTAGAAACATTGCAAGTTCCTCTCGAAAAATTACAGATTTATAAATGTGAAATTAATCTATCATGTATGGGTACATCAATGGAACACTAAAATACACACACAAAAGGTGTCATTACACTATCCTTTTGATTCACAAATCTAAAAAAAATTCAAATTGGTGTTTTTCACTTTGGCAAGCCGGTGAGTGGGTCCAGTAGGGCTTGAGTTTCATCAGAAAGCACAACGGGACCACCTCCCGGTCTTGTACAGATAAAGTAGCTAACATCTCCCTTTGATTTCTCTCCCACAATGTTACCTTTTGTTTCGGGGGGACCCACCAATGCTTCTACATCCTTCATATCCTTAATTCCTGCATCTTTTAGTATCGACTTGTCCCCGATCACATAGCTATTCAAAACAACATAAACCATCATCAAACAAGTGTATCTTTGAATTCCATCCATCTTGCAACCAAACAACCCATGGAATGGAATCTCAAATTCCAATTCCATCGATGAGTTATGTAATTAATATGCATACCTGTCTAAATCGGTGTCGGGTTGTGGAGGGAAGTTATAAAGCAGCCTTTGTAGTAAAGGGGCAGCAGTTTTCCTGTCACGTGCTATCATAACCGCATTTGGCCCCGCATCAAACGTGTATGCCACCTGTCCATCAATTTCAAATCAAATTACTCAACATCCCAAATTTTAATAAATTTTCAATCCACCAGTTCCCATAAATGTCAAAACTCCAAACCTGAGGTGTCTCTTCTGCACGATTCCATTTCTCAACACAACCGATTATTCTGTAACATTTATAACAAGTTATAACTGATATTTTTTATGAGTAGCATATTGCTATTATTGGTAAATAGTTGTAAGTATATTGATATTATTGGTGAAAAGAGTATGTAATTTTCCTTTTTTTTAATTCTCACATAAAAATGGTATGTAACAGGAGAAACTTACCTGCGGGATGTGTCGTTCATGTAGAATATAGGGGGATACGTGTCCAAACAAACAGCATGAAATTGATTACTGTCTGTACACGCTAAACGAGTAAAAGATGCAAAATCACGGTTTTGTATCGCGTTTTCCATTTCAATTATGCGCTTTGGTACAACTTCCTGTGCCATTTACAGTAAACAAAATTTAGACTGTTAAACAGGACATGGCAGAACAGAACAGGCTAGGCTGTACTGTGTTGTGTGTTTCATTTGAAGGGACTGGCACTGAGACTTATGTCGATGGACAAAAGTAGAAACTTTTTGTCCCATCCAAAAATACGGAACAATTTGGGACATGTACTTGCAAAAAGACGTAAATGTCCTTCTCATAGAGGTGTACCTTTGCTCTATGTTGTATAAGTGCACTTGTTTCAACGGTATCACGCATTCCGGATGTGCTACTTGTTTCTTTTTGTCGTGCACTTACCTGTAAACACCATAAGCACCATTAATGACAAATTTTAACACAAGATGTTTGTAATATGTAAATAGTATGTGGTAACTAACAAATATTAAAAAAAGGAAACAAGAAAAATACCACAGCAATGATAATTACGAGTTCGTCCCAATGTTTCTCATCTGCAAGTTGAACAGCAATACTATCGCTTCCATTTTCCTCCTATAAACAAGAGAAAAGTTGATTATTTGGTGCCAAGATTATATATTTTTAATTAGAAAAAAAAAAGTTTAAATCACAGAAAAACCTACTTTTCCCATGATCCACTTCACAAATCCACCGTATAAACTGCGACAAGCACTACCTGAACCTTGCCTGTGCATAAACTTTATATATTAATGAATTGTTGCTAATGCTATTAGCATTTGCTTATTTTAATCTAATGATGTATGTATGTATTAGGTACCTGGCAATAGCAGAAAGTTGACTGTTATCTTCTTTCAGGTTCATCAATTTGGCAAGGGAAAATACTGCACAAAAAGATTAATAAATTTCTTATATAAAATTGAAAGATTTCTGAAAATGCATATTGGTGCAACAACAATGAAGCATGAAATGAGTACCTAAACAAGCAAGACCAGCAGCTGAGGAAGCAAGACCAGCTGCAGTTGGGAAGTTGTTATATGAAGCAATGTGCAGGTGAAGTTTTTGCCAATGTTCCTTGTTGATTTTAATACCTTTCTTCTCATCTTCTACATCATTAGCACGAGCTCGGATTTCTCTTAAACAACTTTGGAATCTACCTCCTTGAAGTGATATCTCCTACAATAACCAGCAAAACAAGGAAAAATGCCACGAATCAGCGAAACTGAATGATTGACGATTCTTAACTTGCTCATTTCACACTAATCAACGCATATCAATCATTATTGTTGCGATTTTTGTGTGTTTGAAGATATTTAAATTGAGCGAGTTACAGGTACGTCGACTTCATCTGAATCGAAGTGAACTTCGGATTTTAAGAGGACTCAATCCGATCACAGAATTCAATATCCGCATCTCTGATTGCTTAATTTTGAGTTGATCGATGGATAAACAGAGAGAAATTAGGTTCAGGTGTGTACCTTGCCGTTGAGCCACATGCGATCTTCAACGAAGCTAGGGCTCACAGAAACGGTGGTGGTTGTACAGAGGTGATTCGGATCGAGAGTAACACTGATACTATCATTAATCGGTAAAATCAACTTCTCGTCCCTCTTCCCCCAGTACTTGATCACAGCTATGTTCGTCGGCGTTCTCGCAGTCACCATCAACACCCATTTCTCTGCTTGAGCTCCCATTATCAATTCAAATTAATCTAATGATAAGGAGATTGAGAGCGATTAGAAGGGAGATTAAAGTTGTATCGTATGCATGTGAATTTATAAACGTATGGTGTATTTTTTATATATGAAGGTTTAGATGTCACCCTCCATTGTTGACTGAAACTGATCACTGATGTGCGTGTGCGTAAGTTTAATTTCGCCCCTGAAGTTTCTAAAGTTCAAATTTTGACACTAAAGTTTTTTCCTTAATACTTTAGTTATTAACATTTTCATAAATTCTTTTAATTGTTGTAAAAACCGAAAAAACCAAAACTCGAGTGATTGGAACACGTCACTATATGGCCTATAATAAATCTGTAAAAGCGACGACACTTATAAGTTATGAATTATTATATTATATATAAACACGTAAAACAAAGACTCATGCCAAATGGTGTTTTTTAGAATGCAAATGAAGTCACAACTCAACTTTTTTGGTATGGTTTGATCCTTAAAAGAAAAAAAACTAAGATTTACCATTCATGCATTGATTTGTTTCTTTTAAGGGAGAGCTAAAGAGGGTAGCCAATCTTGAAAAACTGAAAGTACAACCGTCAAACTTAAAAGATGTTGATCTTTGTGACCGTATATTGAAATTGACAAACCAATGTCCAATTTCTTGTCACGGGATATATTATAAAATGCAGTGCTTTGGACTCTTAGGTTGCGTTTAGTTACGGAAAAATAGTTTTCATTTTCCGTTTTTCGTTTTCCCTTTTCAGTTTTCGTTTTCCGTTTTCGGTTTTCATTGGAAAATTTAAAAAACGTGTTTTGTTAAAACTTATTCATTTTTCATTTTCAGTTTTAAAAAAATAGAAAACGTGTTTAGATGTGTATTTTTCTATCGGCTTTCATTTTTAGAAAACGGTAGCGGTGGTAAGGAGGGCGTGGGGATGGTGGTGGTGGTGGGGGCAGCGGCGGGGGGCAGTGGTGGCAGCGTGGTCGTGGTGGTGGTGGCGGTGGCAGCTGGGTGGCTGCGGTGGTGGTGATGACAAGCGCTGGTGGTGGCGGCGGCAATTGTGGTGATGGCGGCGGTGGTGGTGATGGTGATGGGGTAGTGGTGGTGGTGATGGTGATGGTGATGAT